TATGGTCAAGAATGTTCACTGTTCGCTCCAATTCAGGGATGGCCTGTCTCCCTGCAATGAGCTCTGTTGCCAGATGGAGGCAGTATACCAAAGTATAATAGGTCTGTGGGCCAGTCTTGCTTGTATTGATGGTCTGTCAGCCAGCCACGGGGAAGACCGTCGTTCAAACACAGAAAGAGCTAAAGTGAAAAAAAGGGTTAAAAATAATGAAAAGTGTTGACTGTGACCGCTGTCTGTGTTTTTCATACTTTTTTTTTTTCATTTTTTCCCCATCCTCCTGTTCTGATTCGATCCTCGCTCTATTCCGGCCCACATTCAACTGCTCACATAATCTGCATACAGTGATTTCCAGTCAGGATCTTGAAGTACTGCACTGGAACGCACCTGGGATGGGACCGTAAAACCAACATTACTGTTCATGAAGCTATGTGTAAATGGATGAAATGTTGTAGTTCTTTGCCTGAAGGGAGGAAGCATGTAATTGATTCTGTTTGCTTGTCTGTATGTTTGCTAGCAGTCTAGTGTCCAAAGATTTCAGGATGCCTTTCAAATTGGTAGATAAAAATGGTAGATACCAATAACAGCTCGAGCTGATTTAATTTTGTGGAAATCATCAAAAAATGCATATTACCCACAATTGTTTATGGATCTTCGCCAAACTTGTGAACAACATACTAGGCTGTACTTAGCCTGACTAAGCACTTGAACTTGACCTCCATTTCTAAGACCCAGGGTCAAAGCTGACCTTCACAAAAAAATAAATAACCCATATAGAGCAATATATCATGTGAAAGGGCACAAGAGCATTTTTTAACCTCTTTTCTTAATTGAAAACTCAACTTTTTAGAGCTTATAGAAACCAAATGCTTCAGACAATTCTGCCTAGCCAATCATATTGGTAAAAGATAAGATATTGGTAAAAGACCTTGAAATATATATATATATATAAATATATATATATATATATATACATACATACATATATATATATATTATATATATATATAAAGTCATTTGGGCAGGTAGATAATTCCGTTCTTATAAAAAGCAAGCTGACGTCAGCATGTTGTAGTAAAGACATCATCAAACAAATTTCCTTGTCCTTTGGACAGTGGAGTTTACTGGTGTGAGTCCAGAGAGGGTCCCATCAGTAACATGGTTAACCTGACAGTCACTGGTAAGCTGAGTGTGTGGAGTTAGTGTTGATGAAGCTGTGTGTAAATGGATGAAATGCTGTAGTTTGTCTCTGTGTTGAGGTGGATCAGTGATCCTGCAGAGTCCTGTCCTCCCTGTGATGGAGGGAGATGACGTCACTCTGCTCTGTAAAACAAAGACCACTCCCTCCAACCTCCCAGCTGCTTTCTATAAAGATGGCTCCCTCATCAGGAAGCAGCCTACAGGTCACATGACCATCCAGCATGTTTCCAGGTCTGATGAAGGCCTCTACAAGTGTGACATCAGCGGTCATGGAGAGTCTCCATCCAGCTGGATCACTGTCACAGGTGACACACTCACCTGTCTGTGTTTCTGCAGCTTTCAACATTCACAATGTGACGACAACTTAATGACTGTGTTTGCTTTATTTTAGAGAAACACACCACCACACCTTCTGGAGCCTCCATTCTTCTCACCGTGTTGTTGACTGTTGCATCAGTCTGTGTTGTGGTTTTATCATTAGTTGTATGGAACCAGCTTACCAGAAGAAGCTGGAGAAGATGACATCACCAGTTTCCTTAAGTATGACTTCAGTAAATCAGGACATTTTTGAAAAACACAATATAGTTTTTAAATGTTGACACTATAACTGCATATTTAAAAAGTAAAAATGTGGAGACTTTTACAAAAGGACAAAAAGGAGACGGAGAAAAGTGCAAACATGACACTGAGGACAACAAGCTCATCTTCTTTGTGGTTTAGTGTTTGTTTTGTCATTTACGGGTTGAAATGTGATAAGAGAAGACCATTAGCTTATTGTTTGCTGGATTTTAAAGTTTCTATCTTTATGTCTGTATGCACAGCTGCATGTTTGTTTTTTTTCTTAACCACATTTAGAGTGTGTAATGTTTTCAAGTTGCTAAGGCTCAACCTCCTCTGTGTTTTTGCTCAGATACAGCAGATATCTTTAGTATTCTGTTCATTTCTTTAGTTGAGCAGCACCACTTCCCTTCATTTATCCATTTTTTTGTAAACTTTTTTAAAAATTGTTCTTAACTTTTTCATCTCTTCATCAGTGGTAAGTTCCTCTTTCCTCACATACTGGTGTGAGTGCACAAAGCTCCTGCAGTGCAGAAGCCCCGCCTACCTGCTTTCTAACTCTTTCAACCAATCAGAAGAAAGTTATGCTGAAGAGGGAGGCGTTAAACAGCTCATTTCAGATAGATTCTATCTGATAAGGGATACACCAAGGGGCTTCTCATTTTGAACTGCATGCAAAGCTACTCTGGTATAAGTAGCTCTGGCACAATATGAGTACTCGCGTGAAATGACCAAAACATTTCCACTTTAAAAGAAGTGCAAATGTTAGTGTAGAAAAGCACAACCACTCGCATACTTGTCAGATGACCTTTCTGTTGATTTACTCTCATGTTCCTGTGTGTGTCCACAGAAACGTATGTTGTTCATCACTGTTTGTTGAGATTAAGATTGTGTAGCTATTTTGCAGGCTGAAGCAGATAGTGTATTTTTCCATGCTAACACAGTTTATGGCTGTTTTTAATTCAGTTTGCCCTTTGACATTTACACTGTTCAGTTTATGGTGTACAGTACAAAGCTGCACTACTTCCTTCAGATAAACTGTAAAATTAAAAAAAACCTGTTTCATTTTTTTATTGATGTGCTGATACTAGTGTTTTATTAATAATAAATAATACTAACTGTGAATAGAAAGCATGTGTCGGTGTCAGTACGCCACTGACTGAACACTTGAGTTTTTGTTTTTTTTGTTTTTTTAACTAGTAGAGTGCACACAGTTTCCTTTTTTAATTTAAGGAATTACATTCTGAAAATAGTAATAAATAATGAGACACTGTAAAAAAAGCTAAAACATGAATCCTTTACCCAACTTAAACAATTTGATTAATACATTTGCTTTTTATCATGAGTCACATTTTCTATCTATTTTTTATTTCCAATTTTTTATGATGGTTTTCTTTTTTTATATCTACATCTGGAAATATTTTAGTTTTGTATAATTTTTCACTCCTAAAACTCCTAAATTCATCTTGTTGGTGGGCTGGTTCTGCTCCCCAGGCCTCGTGTTTGACACCACTGCTTTAAACTGTAACTGCAGATCTTGTTTGAGCTTCATGATTGACTCCACGTCACTTTCTTAGCCACACATTTCTTGGCAGACATGTTCATTTTCTTAGCTTAGAGCCAATCAAGTGTGGGCCACTGTCAGTATGATGGAAGGTCACAG